GGTTGTATAACTGCAGACAGAGGCCCGGGAATTGGGACCCGGTGGATCACAGCGACACGCGGCTCCGGGAGTAGCTATGGCTCAGAAAGAGGACAGTCCCTTAAGCTTCGCGGAAGGGGGCCGCTGCGAGCCTCTAGCGTTGGTACCCAGAGCCTTGTTAGCAAAGCTACACAGCCTGCTGTGATCCATAGCGGCTTTAACAACAACAACAACAGCAACACCGGCTTAAGAACAACGAGAACTAACAACGACGATAACAAAAAGCAACAACAGCAGCAGTAATATTAGCAATAAAAAATCTTATTGCTGATAATAACAAAACGAAAACGAATAAGAAGTACAATAATAAGACAATACTACATAACCACGAAAAATAAGAAGGCTAACAGCAACCACAAGAAGAATAACAAGAACAACAACAGCAACAGCAACAACAACAACAACAAGGTAGCAGTTGCGTCTGCTGGTGTGTCGTTTATTTTGGGGGAGGTTTTTTTTGGCCAACAGCTAGAAAACCCTGAGTTGTGCGTGGTTTTCGTCAACAAGACGATGTTCCGGACTTTATTTTTTTATAGTTGTTTGTTTATGTTTTTTGGTGAGGTTTTTGCGGAAGTGTCGCAAACACCATGTTTTTTTCGTCTTTGATGTGTGTTGATTTTTAGGGTCATTTGCCAAGTTTTTGTCTGGAAAGCTTCGAAAATTCGAGGTGTTTGCATGGTGGACGCTTCCAAAGTGAAGCAACCAGAAACGGCAAGCACGGGTGGACAGAGCAACTGGTAGTGTTTCAAATGTAGCTCTGCAACAAGGCCAGCAGGGAGCAGCACTGTCATGTTCATGGTCATGTGCGGCAAGAACTATCGTAATCTGGTCAGAAAAACTGGTTGCGGCATCAGCAACATCAGAAGCAGCGTCATCTTTACATGATAACAGCTGCAATTTGTTTGGTTAGCTTCCAGAGAACACAAGAAGCAGAAAACAAAAGTCGCAGTCGCATGGACGTCATCACCCCTCCACCCCCGAGCCGGCATGTGCAGAAAGTCGAGAGTCGGCAGAAATACTGCAAAAACCGATGCAAAATGGGACATACACAGGAAAACACAGAAAAATGGATGCGAAATGCAGAGCTGAACATGGTTTTGCACAGTGCAGCCCGCCGGCTGGCATACTTTTTTGCTCGAAAACACCGCAAAAACCGATGCGAAATTGCGGGCGAACAAAGTGCCAAAACTCGAGTTGCAGCACATGCCAGCAAAGGAATCGCACCACCCCGCACGGCGGCAGACGCAACAGCTGCCAACAACAACAACAGCAACAACAGCAACAACAGCAACAGCAGCAGCGACAACAACCAAGGTAACGCAAGTTTTCGTCATGAAAACGTGGGAAATGGCACGGCATCCGTCCAAAATGTAAGGAAAACTGTCGCTAACGTACAGGGAATTTGTGTTTCCCTAGGAAAAGCCCGCGCGCAAAAGGAAATCCACCCCCTTCCCTCCCTCCGTCCCTGCCTCCCTCCCGTCCCCTCAGACCAAGCAAACGCACAAAAACAAAAACACATCCCCAAGAAAAAGCTAATTTGGCATCCCTCAGAAGACTCTTGGAAGCTCGTAGTTCCTGTGCATCTTTTCGCTTGCCTGCAACCAAAGGGAACATTGGGACGATGAGCTCTCCAAGTATGAATCCATCAAGGCACCGAGTGTCCCGACATGCTCTTCATAAAGCAGCGAGATGTGCTTTTCATGATAGGCAGCAGGAGCTGTTTGGAAAGGAGCTTTCTGCTGGCAGTACAGCCTTCGGGTGATGTTCACGGTCTTCCGGGCAAATGGAAAAAGACGCACAAGCGTCGACACCCTGCAATGGCCCTAGGCACCATGCAGCACAAGCGCGAAAGCGACATCCATCCATGATAATCGCATCATCGGTGATTCCAAGCACTCGCAATAGATTTACTGGTTTTTCCGACTCAAGGCTGGGGAGAGTGTTATTCAGGAACTGAGGATCCTTCAAGGCCGATCTCTCGACCTCGGTGGGTAGCACCACCTGCTGCCAAAAGAGCTTGCTTGCTTGGGTTTAGGGGTTGGGGTTTGGGTTTTAGGGTTTATGGTTTGCTTTAGGGTGTGGGCTTGGGGCTCTTTTGGGGGCTCTAAAAACACTAAACTACTCGATTGGAACGGCAGCGCAGGAAACTTCACGTTTGATCTTTGACAGTTCGTTTAAGTGTACGTAAATTGATGCAGCAGTGTGTTGAAGTCGGAAGAACTATTGGACAGTGAACTTGGTCTTCCTGTCTGTCTGTATCTTTCTGCAGACAGGACAACTCTGAAGGAATCACAGTCGAGTCAAGTGCAAGCTCTTTGCGGCCTGGTCTGACCGCTTGCGTTTTACTAAGTGGCACACAGGTACGGCGTGAACGGAATGCAAGCAGTACGTACACTAGGTCGAGCATAAAATTGCCCCTTCCAGCACACTCGAGGCTGCCAAGGAACAGGAAAGGACAAGATAAGCTGATCAGACCAGCCTATCCTGTGATCCTGCACCCAGTGGCTTGCGGCAGGCACGCTGCTCGACAAAAGCCATACTTCCTGCAAAGGACAGCTGGAGATGTTAAGAGATCCTGTAGCACAATGCGGTTGCTTCATCAAGTACCATACTGTTTGCAGAAGCTGTTGCATCAAGGACTGCTCTAAGGAGGAGGCAGGTGGCTGTCACTCCTAGAGCTTCTGAGGGGGCCTGCTGTCATCTTCAGAGGCAACACTTGTAAGCTCGACCGAGTCAGTCCATGTGCCCCATGAGTCCAACAGTTTTTCCGACTGTCGACACACTGGCCAGACTGGCCTGGAGAGCAAGAAATTGGAATGCGACGGTGCGCAGAGCACCTTCGAACGCGGCTTCTGCGACCAAGCCGTGCAGGCTCCCACTGAGCTGTCTGAGTATTCGAGATAAGGGGAGACGCAGAAGTTGGTATGAGATATGACTGACAGTGACATGATTCGGTGTGGAAGCCGTTTTGATCGATGTGTGACGGACAGGTCAACAAAGCCTGGTACAAGTATATCGTGTGCTACCGCGCGGCCGGGAAAAGCGCGTTGTGCAAGTACTGAAAATTTGCGTTCGAGCCTTGGTAGGCGAAATCTTCGTACGAAGATGCCACCCAGACAGCCAAGACGATCGTTGACTCAAAGAGATGACCTTAGCAACTGCAAGCCGCATGCGATAGCGCATTATGCGGGCTCTGCATCATCCCCAAGGAGGCTGAACCTCGATGCCTCGCATCGTATCGAATGCCTCCTAAAGGACTGAACAGCATTCGGCACTGCATGACCTAGGCGAAATCCACTTCCTGCCAGGTGTTTTCCAAAAAGCACGACGCAGAAGCGGCCCTCAGAGAGTGCAAGCTGATGGATCACAGCTGGAGTCTCAGCCAAAGCGAATAAAACGCATCTGAATCTGATGCTGTAACCGATGCACCCGATACTTTTCGGGGGGCCGAGGGTCAATCCTGCGAGCACTCCCTTCGGTTACACACAAGGTGCGGAAACTGAGAAGATCCAGGTGCAGCTCCAGAAGGCACCCTCTCTCAGAGGACGTGTTGAGAGGCTTTTCGGAGACGTATCGTACCGTGCCGTAATCGCATCGCAGACTTCCGTGTAGTCACTGTCGTACTTGTAGCTTCGTGCGTCGCCAGGTCCCGGAGCCTGAGACACCGTTGCGAGCCTAGGAGAGGGACATGAGGGGCTCTCTCGATGCTCTTTGCGATGCTTTGCGCCAAGGCCGCCTTCCGTGAGCATTCCAGGCGATGCCGCATTTGCCAAGGAGACTGCAGACTTCAGACACTGCTCGCATGTAAAGTTTTGTGAAAGGCTGCAGGAGCATGCGGAGCTATCCGGGGGGCATTGCAGGAGGAATATGTCAACTTGGCCAGCGCGGCATCTGCTCCTCAGACCTGTGCCTTGCCGTTTCAATTGGCAGCTTGGCCGAAGCTTCTTGGAATCTGTTGGGTGAGTACTGCTCCGAGATCATCTCCTGGCAGGCAATGTGAGGCACCCGATCATGTAGCAGCCATGGAAAGCTGGCAGATAGTGACTGATTCGCGCCGAAGGCGCAGTCATTTTCGTTTGAATAAATACCGTACCTCTGTTTGACAACTCAAATGTGTCTCGATGCAGCCTCGTCGTGACAGTGACTGCGAGTGCGAGAGGCATCATCGCGGATGCCGAAAGACTCGCGCTTGATGCAGACCTTTCTGTCAGGTGTCACGCAAATTCCGTAAGCCAAATGCCACCATTTGGTGTCCTAGTGTTCGAATGTGTGTTTGCCCAGCTTGTGCAGCCCGGTCAGGCTACAGCGGATTTACTGACTGAGGCACAGGCTTGGTTTCGCGGCAGAGTGGCAGGCTAGTCTGCTAATTTCAATCTGTCGCAGCAGACGGCATCGGCCTGATGGCACCACGCCGTCATACGCCGACGAGCACTGTGAACCCGACCACGAGATGCAACCACATTTGATGCGGCTGTTGACGGCTTTAGAGGTTGGCTTCAGGCCCAGTTGCAACCGCATCGACGTGTTGAGCCAAAGTGCTCACCCATATCAGCACAAGATTCGGCCTACAGCAGACCGGAACTTGCGCCGTCGCCCACGGATGTGAAACCACACTGGTGTCGGCCGCGGTACTGTTGAATGTTTCGCAACAGTTGTGAGCTTGGGCGCTCTGTCCAGGATCCGCGACGGACCTGCGAAACCCGAAGCATTGCGTTCCAGATCGTTGCGCAGTTCATTTTAGAGACAATAGGATGGCAAAGGCTGTCGCGAATGTGCAGCCTGCCTCTAAATGCAGGATTTCCTGCTTTCTGCCTTCTTAGCCACGGTCAGGAGGCACTTCCGGAAAGTCTGGTGCAAAGCTCATGGAAGCTTCCTGTGCGCTGTGCAACCGTCGAACGAAGCTCAATTCCCTTTTGTAATGCTCATGGGTTTCACACGGTTTTGTTGCGAAATTCTCGCAGGAGCAGTGCCGCCTTCTGGCTGATGGGTTGGACGAGCTGCTCCTGCAGCAGCGCCCAGACGAGGCTTGCTCGGGAGTTTAGTGCACAGCACGAGTTTCCTGAGTTGTCCGTGATCTGTCCGCATCAGGTGCTGTGCACCCGCTTTGGTGCTGAACTGACACGGCGGCATCTGCCCAGCCCCTACTTGCTACCTGCTACTGCTACTGCTGCCACTACGACTACTGCCACCACCACGACGACAACAACTGCTGCTACTTCCTTTCACCACTACTACTGCTGCTGCTGTTGCTACCACTTCGACTGCTATTGCTACTGCCACTCCTCCCACTCCTACTCCTGCTCCCAGTCGGCTCCTACTCCTACTTCTAATCCTCATGCAGATGCCACTGCCACTGCCGCTGCTACTGCTATGGCTACTGCAACTGCTGTGAATAGTGCTGCCACCACCACCACCACCACCACCACCACCACGACCACCACGACTACCACTAGCACTAGCACAACTGCTACTGCTACTACGACGACGACGACTACTACTACTTCTTAGTACCACAGCGACAGCGACGGTTGAGAAACAGTTAATTTTTCGTGGAGGAGGGGCTCGATTTCTTATTATTGAAGCGCGCCTTTCTTTGCTAAAAAAGCGTCGGGAGTTGCGGGTAACCTGGATTTATTAACCCAAATTTCTTAATCTGAAACGGCAGCAAATAAACAACAAATTCAAGAAATGAGAATACAGGAGGGTTTGAGCCCGCAGCCCCTCCCACTCCAGCTCACGTGCTTATCCACTCGGCCGTGGCAGCCTTCGGACTCCTGATACGCCGCCATATTCATCCCATTGTTTATCCAGCTTGAGCCCTTACCAGAACGCCCCAAAATAAGAAATCGAGCCCCTCAATTTCTTGTTTTGGTGGTGTTTTTCCTATGGCAAAGCTTAACTTAACTTAAGCCCTTACATCCAAAGCTGTTATCAAGGCCTTCTTAAGCCCCCCCCCTTCCCAAAAAAATGAGAAATCGGGCCCCTCAATTTCTTCTTTTGGTGGCTATTTCCAGAATGGCAAAGCTTTCTGTGAGCCCTTATCATACAAGCCCTTACAAAGCCTCCAAAGCCTTCCAAAGTTGTTTATGAGGCCTTATCAAGCCCTTATTAGGCAAGCCCAGAACCCACCAAAAGAAGAAATCGAGCCCCTCATTGTTTTATTTTGGTGGTTTTTCCTATATGGCAAGCCTTACTTTAAGCCCTTATCAAGCCCTTACAAAGCTTCCAAAGCCCTCCAAAGCCCTCCAAAGCTGTTGTTAGGGCCTGATTAAGCCCTTATTAAGCCCTCATTAGGGCTTAATCGGGCCTTAATAACAGCTTTGCAGGGCTTTTTGGAGGCTTTGTAAGGGCTTAATAAGGGCTTTGATTAAGCTTTGCCATATAGGAAAGCACCACGAAAATCAGAAATTGAGGGGCTCGATTTCTTATTTTGGTGGGTTCTGATAAGGGCTGATTCAAGGTGTGTAAAAAATGGGATCGGCTTGATGGCGTTTCAGGAGTTTGAAGGATGCCATGCCCGAGTGGATAAGATTGGATAAGCACATGAGCTGGAACGGAAAGTGCTGTGGGCTGGAATCCTCCTTTGCTCTCATTTCTTGGTTTCCTTTGTATATAAGGGTCTGGCGCCGAGCTTTTGGAATACGGAGTCTACTCCCTTAATTTCTTGGCTTACTTTTTGCGCGACACAGCGAAGACAAAATGAGAAAGAGCCAAATAAGAAATTGGCACGCCGAGTCCAGGGTACCCTGGATTTCTTCTTTTTGGATGCACGCATTTTATGTATATATGTTTTTGTCGCACGGCTGTCTGAGGCGCTCAATTTCTTAAACCAATGATTTCATGAGCAGTGCTGTTGCTGTAGTACTAGTACTTGTACTAGTACTACTGCTACTACTACTACTACTACTGCTACTGCTACTGCTACTGCTATTACTACTACTACTGCTACCACTACTACTACCACTACTACTAGTTACGAAAGCCAGCTCCTTGGAGCTTGCGAGAGTTGTTGTTTACATAGTTCTTTCTTGGACAAAGTAGAAAGCAGGGACTTTGAAGTTTGCAGGGCGGGGGGGTGGCCCCACCCCTCCCTCCCCTCTTGCTTGATTCAGGCCCCGTCACCCCCCCCTCCCTCCCCTCGAGGCCGGCCTCCTTTGCTTTGTTGGTTTCTGGTTTCGATAAAGTTTGCAAAGCCAGCTGCAATGCCGATGGGCCACAAATAAGCATACATGACAGAATCAGCATCCACGGCAAGCACGATAGCTCACCCCATTGATGGCTCAACCCATTCTGCGAGGTTTGGCTCGTGTAGAGGACAACTCGTGGCAAACATATCATCCATCAGTATCGGACTGCAGTTGTGACCATGTTATTGGCTTCCCACTCTGAGACATTTCATGCGCATTTTGTCGAAACGTGCACCACGGTAGGCCTTTCTTCCCACACGCCGCCCTGCCCTGCACGCAAGCCCGCACATTCTCGCGATTCCAGCGCTTCTCGACTTGCTTACCCTGCGGCCTTTCTACTCCTTGCCCCTAGCTTTCGTCCGCCCTGCGCTCAAGCAGTACTGCTACTACCAACACAGCTATCAGCCATGCAGGAGGCAAAAAACCAACACAGCTACTACTGCTACTGCTACTACTACAACTACTACTACTACTACTACTACTCCTCCTGCTGCTGCTGCTATGCTCGGCCTGCGGTCGGTCGATGCAACCGCTTCACTCTTTGGTGAGTGCTTGAAACGGTCTTGCAGCTTTGCTAAGACTTGCTGAATGCCGTGTGCTGCTGCTACTACTACTATTAGTACTGCTGCTGCTGCTACTACTATTACTACTCCTGCTGCTGCTGCTGCTTCTACCACTACTGCTACTACTCCTCCTGCTGCTGCTTCTACCACTACTACTACTACTACTAGTACTAATAATAATAATAACAATAATAACAATAATAATACTACTACTACCCTCGGAGGACCGTGGATCCTTGCGGGTGTTGTTACTGTGGCCTGTGTCCTCATTGGCCTCTACGCACAGTGGAAAATGAGATGCCCTCCAGTGGCGGCCATGGCTCCCGCTACAGCCGGTGAGGCCTGCCAACAGCCACCCGCTTCCTCCTCGGATCCTGTGGGAGCTTCGGTCAAAGCTGATGCTACTGACTTGAAGCCTGACAATGATGGGCCTGCCTCACAGACCTCAACACCTGTAGCTGTGGCGGTTGGCGAAGTGCAGACAGAGCCGGCCAAGGACTATGTGACACACGAGGACCTGGAGAAGTGCCGACGATGCCTTTTCCAAGACTTCACGGACAAGATAGAGTCACAGAACAGCCAGTCTGCCACCCTCTTGCCGCAAGCACTGCGCAAAGAGATTGCAGCCCTCCTCAACCAGCGACCACCGGCGCGGAGTTGAAGAGCGTGACGGACACCCTGACTGAAGTCCACCAGCTCTGCGAGGATGGACACCAAAGTTCTTTGGATGGGAGAGTTGAGGCCAAAGCTGACTCGGACAGTATAGTCAAGAGCCTCACTGACCTCCACAACAAAAAGTCGATGCCACCTCCAATGATGTTCGCGGTGTCTTGATGATCCCGCCCTACATCCAGAACTTGCAGTCGGCTGTTGACAGCTTTAGCCAAGAGAGCTTCAGCCGCGCCCGGACCTTGCATGGTTGCCTTGAGAGCTTCTCGAGGGACTGCATTTGGCACTTGCGGGAGCTCCACCAGGCGGAATCATCCAGACGTGTGCAAACATCCTGGAGAAACCAGGATGTTGGGAGAGTGGTCGGAGGAAATGCGGGGCATGGCTGCGACCCTACAGACTGGCATTGATGACTTGTTGGGCCGTCTTCTGCCAGCGAGAGGCTCACAAGCCCACATGCCGGCCCCGTCACACCCGCCTTCTACGACTGCTACGAATCCCCCTTCAGGTGGCACTCAGCACACTGGAGCAACCACAGATGCCTGCCCCATCAATCTGACGAGTGCTTTGCGCTTCAAGCAACCGCCGGCCACACCACCTCCTTCTATGCCGGCACTGACCATGCTGATGACGCCTGAGTCTTCTCTGAGGCTCTCGCCAGACTTCTGTTGGTAATTGAGCAACAACAAATGATGCAGCGCTGATATGCGTTGTTCATGACATGCAGGGGTGAGAGTCTGCTCCAGACCCGCTGATTGCCTTCTACTTCTTGTGTTTGTTCTTTACTTAGTCTTGTTATATTGGGTCGTCTGGCTATCTTTACTATCTTTACTTCGGCCGTTGTTGCTTTGTAGAAGATGGTGATTCAGTTCGGGCAGCAACCACGAGCACCAACGTTTAATTCATGCCTTTGCATGCTTGCTGCCCTGCTGACCTGCCTTACTGCCCCTGCTTTTGACGCCCTTGTCATAATTCATCTTGGTACTTCGCACTGCTACAGCCATTTTGGCGTGATACACCAGCTGCCTTGCACTGCTCACTTGCCCCACGACATGGACTGTAAAAAGTAAACCTGGGCCCGAGAGTCTTTTGTGTTGCGAAGCATTGAGCCCTCTGTTCGGCTTCTTTCCATTGCATGCACCCCATTGCATAGTGGCTCCTAGGGTTTGCAGATGCAAACATGTGCCGACTTTCACATACATGAGTAGCTAGACAAATCCTCCTTTGATGCAGGGCCCCTCCCTCGCTACAAGTAGCTGAAACGAGTAAGGGATCCTGGGACTTCGAGCCCTGCCGCCGGCAAAGGGCACATGGAGCCGATTCCCTTGCACATGTTCTGGGAACCCTTTGCAGGGAGCAGACTTGACATTTGGGACGTCTGGGTGCTGCAAACTTGTATCTTGGGATGTCTTGCATGCCAGGCCCTGATGACTGCGCTTGGTATTTGCCCTTTCTGGAGGATCCGGCGTGAAAATCAGGCGATTCACCTCGCACTCGTGCGAGTTTCATATCCACTCGACACAAGGCAGTAAGGATAAAACCATGCCATGGCAAAGCCGTTGCCTCTGACCTTGGGAACCGCCTCCTATGGTGGATGCAGTTCTGGCTTGCTCTGAACTTGTATCGGACGGGGGAAAACCATACAATCAGAAAAAGACGCCTGCGTTGATTCAAGCTTCGGTTGCATGCCTTGATTAGCCAACTCGGTGGAGG